ATATCAAATTGAAGGTAATTTAATGTAGAATTTAATAATAAATACAGTATTACAATATCTGTATTACAAAAAAAGTTATGCAACTAATAGTAAGATCTATCTTAGATTTGCATTTTTTTAAAGTGATACTTACACAATCAATTCTTAGTAGGATAACGCTTATTTTTTAAGACAGCTTCACAGCCTCTTTTCATAGAGTGAACGAGTGTTTGAAGTTCATCTTTCGTAATCACATGGTTCAATAAGAATCAATTATAGCTTCAATAAGTTGTCTTTTATTGGATGGACGTTTTTTTCGTACAAGAATTTTCAAACGTCGCCTCAAATTTTCTATTGGATTGAGATCAGGGCTGTTTCCTGGCCATAGTAATATATCTATGCCCTTATTTTGAAACCATGCTTTGCATGCTTTTGCTGTGTGGCATGGAGCTGAATCCTGCTGAAAAATAAATGATGCGTTGTTGGGGAAGAGATCCCTGATGGAAGGTATCAATTTTGGTTTCAGGACAGTTTTGATGAAAACTCGTTCACTCGATGAAAAGACGCTGTGATGCTGTCTTAAAAAATAAGAGTTATCCTACTAAGTATTGATTGTGTAAGTATCACTTTAAAACAATGCAATTGCATAACTTTTTTTGTAATACAGATATTGTAATACTGTATTTATTACTAAATTCTACATTAAATTACCTTCAAATTGATATGTAAACGTTCGTATTTAAGTGAAAATTAATATATAAAATTAATAATGAAAAACATGAAACTTTCAAAGAATGTCCACACTTTTGGCCACCACTGTATGTATGTATGTATGGTTGATAAAATTTTGTTACGCTTCGGTCTCTCCAATTTTTTTTTTCTTCGGTGCACTTCACACTACTGCATTGATATGTTTTACTTTGGCTGTATTAAAACCATATTAGAAAGCACTATTTTTACAGATATAATCATTTGAACTGATGACGAGATCATATCGTTTTGTAGTTAAATTTTTTCATTTTAATAAATTTTTTGAAATGTTAAAAATGATTTTTACCTGCTTTTTTGTGCGTTTTTATCCTATATTATGGGATTGCGATTTTTTTGCGCCGTTAATAAAACTTAATAAATCTTATATTCTTAATCTTTCTTTCTTTTCTTTCATTATTGATTGTCTCATGTATATGCATAAATAACACAATAAAGGCAGAAAAATAATTAAAAAAAAAGAAGATTAACGAGGAAAATTAAGAAATGTAATCATAAGCTTTATTATAAGCAAAAAATTGAAATATGTTATGTTTAAGAACAACAAGTGGAAATAATATATTGCAGATTGTAGGATTCTTTGTTTAAAAAATCAATATTTAAGTTACGTGGTTTTCTTCAACCTAAGATGATTTGCAAATAATACTCTGATGTCTCGAAACATTCTGAAGCTTATTTTCTCAAATTAATCATAAAATGTCGCTCAACATGTTCTTCAATTACGATCAGATACATTTATCACAAAATGCCGCTACTATGATTCATTTATTTATTAATTTTTTTGCATGTATCTGATATGATACTTTCCTTTTAAACAGAGTTCGTGAAGTCCTTAGGATATTTAAATGATGGCAACAAAACTTAAAAGATAAAATAATCAGTTTCAATAACTCGAAATATCCGGTTTTACTACTTCACTAAGATAACTTCATATAGTTAATATTTCTGCTATGGTTGTTTTTCTTTTTCAAGGACTACTTGAAACCTGTTAATATTTTAAAATACAGGTTAAATACTTTTACGGGCATGAAATTCGTATCAGAATAATGATCAAAACTCAAATGTAAAAAGTATAATTTATGATAAAAACTTCATTGGCGTCAAAAAATATGAAGACGGAAATAAAAGTCGACGTGTTTCAAGCGTTCAAAAATAGGCCCCATACTCAAGAATCGCCAGGCGTGAATGACTTGTGACGTTAATTTTTGGATGCGCAAAACATTTCTACTTTTATCATCTGTTATTTTTAAATCAATGAAGTTTTTATCTTTTTCGCTTCAATTTCTTAGGATTATTAACTCAGTATATTAAATTACTTCCCGCTACGTTTTACGTAAGATAAGCGCGTAGGCTCATAGATTGAAAAAATAATAGTTCGATACTACTTTCTAAAAAAATCAATGCAGTAAAATATTTTTTACTGATAGCCCTATACATTTTCTAAGGACGTAAAAAAATCTGTTTTCAATTGAAATTTAAAAAGTGAATGAGAAAATTGAATGTCTCCTAGCACCAGGAATCCAAGTTTTCAATATAGTTACAAGGACAGTTATTTCAAACATGTTAATTTTTAAGTCCCACTCAAAATTATTTGAAGATATGCATTTTTTTTTATTGATTCTAAAATTTTATTCTAGACATATTTTAGGGTATACTTTAGGCGTACTTCTATAGAGTTTATTTTTACATCTTTGTTTGCTTAAAATTAATAAGTACTTTAATTTAAAATAAATAATTCAAGCTATAAATGATAATTTATCTCTATAAATGCATTTATAGTATAATAGTAAACAGGGCTTTCGTTGCATATCCTTATTCTTGATACCGCTATCAGAAATAAGCTTTAATAAATAACAATAGTTAAATCATTTTCCGTTTTAGCTAAGGCTCCTGTACTATCAGGGTCTAATTCAGGGACTCTAGTTTTAGCTTACAAGCAATAGATTCTAGTTTAAATAGATTTCAGTTCAGGAAATAATGAAATTATTGAGTAGGTTCCTTGGAAAAATATCATTCTTATCCTCTTATGACTATTAAAGGAAAAAAGTGTATTCATATTTTCTGTAAAAGTATGCTAACTTTCCCTCTGCGTGCTTTTTTACCGAAATAGATTCAAAAATTGCGCAATTTTTATTACATAGTATTTCTAATTAGATGATGATTCTAAAAATAGCACGGATTTGGAATCTTTTTAGAAATTTCAATTTTTAGTATGTGCTGTTTAACAATCCAAAGCATTTTCCTGATAAAAAAAACTTTACTATATTATCTTGTGAATTGTGCTGAAGTTGAAAAATAATTTTAGCAAAATCTACATCTTTTTTTAAAAGCAGCTATCTTAAAATTAAGGGTGAAATATATATAAGTTTAATCGCCAAAATAAAATTACGGTTTAAATTTGTTTACTTATAAAACAATGCAAACAGCTGTGGTTTTTCTTAGTTGCACTGATTTGTATTTACTTTTCACTACCCAAACAAATAAGCAACAATAAAGTAACTAAATAAATAATTTGCTTGATCAAACTTAGAGAAAAGGATGCACTTATTTAATAAGATCCGTCAGACGTTTTGCACCAATTAATTTTAACTTAGAAAATATTCTTAAATTCTTATTAGCTAACCAGCTATAGTTTTGAGTAATTATTAATTAGTTTTTTGAGTAGGTGCAAATATTTTTTAAATTGCGCAATCTGTTTTAAGGATATGACTATAAACGCAAAAAGTGAAATTAGCGCTAAGGGGACCAAAATTTCAATCGATCTCCTGGCTAAACTATTAGGGACCACAATTTCCAGATTGTTGCTATTTTGAGGGTCAGAAATTTAAATATGTAGGAAAATAATGTATATTTGTTCAGAGAAAGTGCTTTTTGTGTCTGATTTCGTAACCTAATTTATAATAAATACTAATTATTTAACATATTTGAAATCCCCCCCCACAAGAATCATTACGACTGACACTTAGTACGTAAAAATCCGACCATTAGCGCGAAAGTTATTCAGGATGATATCTTTATTATTTTGCGTACAGTACATTTTGCGTACATACATCCCATTTATTTTTCTTATTTAACAGCTTGCGAGCTAAAAGTTAGAATTTTTCTCATTTTATTTATTTAAGCAGTTGAGTTAATGTTGCTGTGACGACGAGGCAAAAAAACTATGACGATGTGAACAATTTCTCTCTATATATAAAAACGAAAATCTGGATATATGTTCGCTAATAACTCAAGAACGAGAGCTTCTATTTGGATCGTATTTTTTTTTCTCCAGTTGGCAAATTTTCATGGAGTAGTTGGTTAAAAATCGGCACTTTTCGGCGTTATTTAGTTCTGCCCAAATATGGAAAATGTTAAATTCCATTGTTAAAACCGATTGTTATATTTTAAACTTTCCCTAATCTCTTTTGACAGGCTTCACCGATTGGCATGGAATTTTTTTGTTACAGATGGCTAATATTTTATGGATCATTTTGTTGTTCGCGCTCTCTACTACGTTGAGTTGTTCGCGTGCGATATTGAAAAGTTTGCTTTTTCATTGTTTCAACGTTGCGCTAATAATAAAACAACATCCTTGCAAAATGTTTAAAAAAATTGTCGCAGACGAATGTCGCGAAAAAATTAAATACCTTATTGATGCTCGCTAAGCAAATAGTTTTGTTTTTATATTTTATAACCGTCGTTGAACTGCCGTTTCAATTTTTGGACTTGCGACTACTAATGTTCAACTCCATAGCCTTGTAATTTTGAACTCAATCCAGAAGGCAAGAGAACTCCTGGATCAAGTATTGGAAGAAGTTTGCCTTCGTGGAGGATTTTTTGATGGAAATAACCCGCATTTACGTTACATGGAGAGGAAGACCACGAGAAGCTCCCACGGTTAGCCTGACGGCAAAGGGACTTTAACCCATGATCCGTCTACCACTGAGGATATTTCACGTCAGCACTGTGGTCGGTGCAAGCCGGAAGCGGATTCGTATCGACCAGCCATCGGTGGGATTCGAACCCGGTTCACCTCATTGGAAGGCGCTATATCCCCTGAGCCATCGCGGCTCTAGGCTCATAGTTTAAATGAATGAAGTAAAAGCGCGAACTGGAAACAAATAAGCACGCTAACAAAAGCTATCAAAAATTAAAAGAATACAATATTTATCCTTTGCGGGAAATTTTGTACACAAATACGCTTATTCTCAGTCGTCTAATCAGCATTTTAATTTCCAGATTTCTACAACTATTAAACACTAATACTAAAAAATTTTCCGACCAAATATTAAAATAATTATTATTATTGGCATCTTTTCAAACACAAATTTTTAGTTTTTTAATTGAGTACTGTTGTCCTTTAAATTAAAATGTCATAAAATTTATAAAATAATCTTAATTTTTAACACAAAGAGGTCAGCCACCAAAAGTGGCTAGATACATTACGCGTAAAATTACACGTTTGTGAATCACGCCTGAATCAGCTAAGTCTTAAACCATGTGACTAAATAGTGAGAAAAAATTTAACAACAAAAAAGATTTTGTCTAGGCTTAGAAATTTCACTAATACTGATTAGCAATCAACATTCCTTTTTCATCAACATCTCCATATGAATGATGTGTCATATGAATGTAAAGACTGGCTTGAATTTTTCAACTTAAATACGACAGTTCATCGGCACCACCATATGCGAGCAACCCAAATGGTTCTCAGCCACAGGAATGATAAATTGGTAACTTTAGTGCGATGAGCAACCCTGAAACGAGTATTACCACGACGCCTGGCGTCAAAAAATACAAAATTAAATACGACCTCAAATAAAACTCATAAGACTTCGAATCAAATAATTAAGATAAGTCTGCTGTTACGTTTTATAAAAGGGAAGATTTATTAACTTAACAATTAAATCACAATTTTGCCATCACAAAGGAAAATCTTACACTCACTCAAAAACTATTTGCATTCCAAAACTATTACTATGGCAACCACAAAACTCTACTCGGTGCCATCTATTAGCTGACATATAATAAATAAATTATTTCACAAAAAAAAATATGGTGCTCATAAACACATAATATCTTACACCTTTGTCATCACTATAACAAAGTCACCGACAAGGTAGTTGCCGGAATATCTATCACTTATGTAACCTTTTCTTTGTCGTTGACAAGTTTTAGACAATCTCATGTCAATCTGTAAATAGTTGCATATATTTTCTGTATTATTTTCTGTTTTATTATACCTGTATAAATGTTAATATTATTCTGACCCATGTAAATATTATTATATTCTAATCTAGTTTAATCTCAGTTATGTTTAATTTCCTATTGATTTCATCATATGTTCAACCGACTCATGACTTTACTATTTGGTGCTTCGCATTCCCTCTCCCCCCCAATTCTACGTCCACTTCACACGTTCCCCCATTATATGCCCCAAAAATCCAACGAATCAGTTAAACAGGCAGCGCACTGAAATTTGAGCAACGTTCTAATGTTTTAATGTAAATACTCATTTACATGGTTATTACTGTCTTTTTTGTACTTGAACAGCGCCATTCAGCCTACTTATTTATTTATTTATTTTTTGACATAAAATGTATTGTTGAACATTTAAGATCTGTCTATTCGTTTAACTTAGAGAAATTTATAATAGTTAAAGAGCCTTTCGTTTTGGAAAAAAAATCTCTTACAAATTCATCACAAATTCATGAGTAATTCATCATGATACCGCACGAACATGAAGAGAATACGAACACACAAAATATGAACAATAATTCCACTCTTAACTTGAGCAATTTGAGTTTACACTTACATAATATCTTGATCTTTGACTGAACGGTATAAATTTCGAAATACTTGAAATTATACTTAATTAAAAAGGCGAACCAGCTGGTCGCCAGTGGAGACTAGTGTGTAAATAAAAATATTATTTTTTTTAATGAAATCAGAGTCAGAATATTTATTTTAGATAAGTAAAAAAGAAAATGACAGATAATTAAATTTTCTGGTGGAATCTCAAAACAGCATGGTACAAAATTCCGTTATTACTTTGACTGAAGATGTAAATACTTAAAATTTATTTATCCATAGTTAGAATAATTTTTCAATTATTTAAGTTTTTTTTTTAACATCTTTCTGAAATATTTCTGTAACAAAATATAATTTTACATGCGAAATATAGGATTATCCAAATCATGCAAAGCTACGTGTGAAATATAAGATTATCCAAATCAGGCATAGCTTTTTCCTATACTTTTATTGTTTAATATAATCTCAGGTCTTTAAACTCAATGAAAAAAGCCATTATAGTGTTAATTTTAATGAAATAGAAATGTATATTGCATAAGTAGTTAATATTTTGTGCATATCACATAAATATAAATAGAATTTAGAATTAGCTACTATTTAAGTAATTGTTCCCTTCTTTTGCTAAGTGCCTGTGTATATTTAATTCCTAAGTTGACTTAAAATTTTTAAAGCATTGAAATTCATTAACTCAAAAATAGAGGGTTTAATTAAAAATAAAACATGACAGAATTAGTTTAATTTATTTTTAAACGAATAAACAAAGGCTAAATTCTTTTTGATTAGAATGCTTTGAACTAGTAATTTGTGTACCAATGAAATGCTATATTCATATCATTTCCATGTTCCTTAGCCATATATTTGGTATATCCATGTCTTTTGTCTTTTCCAAAAATTTTTCTTCCAGTCGGCGGCTTTGCTCTTCGGAGAAGTAATTTTTCCAGTCACCAACAATTCCTTTTCTTACAAAATTACTTATGTTGGGGCCGCTATTCTTACCTTCGATCGCAGCTTTCAAATTGTCTTTTTCTTTTACCAAAATTTCCTTTATTGTATCTGGCACTGGCGATTTCTTCATTTCTTCAGGTGTCATCTCACTTATATCCATAAAGCTTTTTGTCATGAATTCTTTCATTTCTTTTAAGCTACTGTATTTTTTTATATTTTCCATGATGCTTGGATTCTTTCTAATGGGTTCAGCATATTCTTTGTCATTGATAAATGATGCCATTTTCAAAATGGCGGAATCAATGTCTACCTTGAGCTCTTCATAAGTAACAAAGAAAACATTCGGATCATTTCTGAAAAAAAGGAAAAAAGCAAAGAGATTATATTTAAAAATCATTATATATACTAATTTATAAATATGTATTTTAACCCTTTGCAGTCGAGGTTACTAAAGAGACGTAACCATTAAGTTTGCAAGGCAAAACCCATAGTTTGCATAATTAATATTTTGTAGTAGTCGTGAAACAGCCCGCCCAATTTTGAGTTCACGACTACCAATGTTCAACTCCTCAGTCTAGTAATTTTGAATCCAATCCAGAAGACAAGTGAACTCAAGGATCATGCATTGGGAGAGAAATTTACCTTTGTGGTGTACTTCTTGACGGAACTAACCTACATTTGCGTTGAGTAAGTCTGACGGTGGTACGGAGACTCTAACTCAGAGGTCATCAAAGTGGTCTATATTAGAGTGCCTGTATTGAAAAGAGTGATGACAATATCCAAGAGCGCATGCGCTGCCGTCATATTTTCGTCCAAAGGGGTTGCCAGATAATACACCGAAATTGGCGCCACTCGCTCATTTGGTGTTATTCTGAAGGTTCTGTTATTCTAAGAGTATATACTAAAGTATCAATAATATAAACTTTAAGATTGGAAAGCACATGATATTACAGATTTTTTAAGAAACATTGTCTAGCATCTGAAATTGTTAAAAAATTAACGTCAATGAAAAAAAAAAAAGACTTATGAAAAGACTTCAGCTTTTAATAAATGCCTTAAATAAAATATAAAAATTAATAATGATTATGCCATTTATTTCAGAAATAATAATTAATAATACAAATTATATAATTTATTATTATTTATTACTTTTTCAGGAAAAAATTATCGCATATTCACCTGAAAAGGTATTGTTTATTTCAACAAATTGTAAACAAAAATTTCCATAATTAGTTGAAATTTAAAACAAACTAGCATTTTATACAGTTGGTAACGAAAAGTAAACAAATGCTACTTTGTAACGCGCATTGTAACATTGTAACGCGAACATTGTAACGCGCCAACATGTCAAAGTAATATCGCCAAACTCTGCACTTCTGAAGTTTTGATAAAAAGATGCTCAAATCTTAAAATTTATAAGTAATTTAGATAGAAATTATGTGCATTAAAAGTAAATACATTTATTCTTATCTAACCATTAGTTATTTCATCACCTTGTTCTCTTTACAATGAGATAAACATAACTTTATATGCACGCAAGTAAGTGATAATAAGGATAAATTCTAATAACTAACAACTATCCAAATTTTCAGCCATAATTTTAACATTTACTGTAACTGTGAAGTTTCTTATTGAAAAAAAGTAAGTAATGAACTTATTACATGCATTTATTAATACAGAACATAATTTTTTTGAGTC